ATATATATATATATATATATATATATATATATATATATATATATATATATATATATATATATATATATATATATATATAAAGTGAAAAAAATATCATAATAATAATAAACAAAAAGAGTGCATATCATATCACATATGTCATCACTCATGCAATTAACTTGTAGGGCATCTATGATTAGCACACTCAATCCTAAAAATCTCCGCACTAGAACAAAGCCATAAGTGAGAATATGATATCCTACTCTACAAAATCACATGGACCCTTATGTTATTTCATCGCATACAAAATATTACCAAGTGTAAGTGGATCTTTTGAATCAAGTAGAGTGTGTACCATGTCACATGTGTCATCATTCACGTGACTGATTTGTAGGGTACCTATGATTAGCACACCCAGTCCTAAAAATCTCTGCACTAGCATAGAGTCATATGTGAAAAATATGCTGTCCTCTATAAATTCACATATATCCTTGTACTATTTCATTGCACAAAATATTACCAAGTGTAAGTGGATCTTTTGAATTAAGCAAAATTCGAATAAATCCATTGTCAGATACAAAGCACGTCTAGCAGCTAAAGGATTTCACTAACAATCAAGTATTGATTTCACATAAACATTCAGGTTAGTTGTTAAACTGATGATAATCTAGTTTATCCTGAGTTTGACTATTACTTAAGGCTAACATATATGCTAAATATATATTAACAATGTTTTCTTATAAAGAACCATAACTAAAGATATTTTTATGTAGTAACCTTCTGACTTCAGTCACCCTCAATATTGAAGCTATGTTTGTAAACTATGAAAAATGATTTATAGATTTCGCCAAGCTCCAAGAGTTGGTATGTTGAAATTGGCTTATTTTTTATGTTAGTTAGTTTCATCAATTCTAAGTCTGACATATCTTTATTTTTACGATAATAAAAGAGAAGTACTATATATCTATTAGTTTATGTGATGACGTTATCATCACAAGCAATAACCCTAGGTAGATCAAGTAATTCCTTAAGTAATTGGTAAATCGATTCTCCATCAAAGATTTAAGAACCTTAAGCTATTTTCTACGAGCGAAAATAATGTTCACATCTTTTGAACTTTTCATATATTAAAAAAAATATATTTAAGATTTATTATAAAGATGAACATGCATAATACCAAAAAAATTTGCTAATCGAATCGCTATTATTGAATCACTCAAATTATATGATGACAACCCTATTGGTCTGCATTAAAACATGTCTTATGGTATCTTAAAGGGATTCATAGTCATAGAATTTTTTTTTTGTAAATACTTATCACTGTATCTTTATGCCTTCGTCGATGTTGATTGGGTAGGCAAACTAATGATAGAACGTCTACGTCAACTTATATTATCTTCCTTGGAGCAAATCTAATTAGTTAGAATTTCAAGAAACAGAATACAATCGTAAGATCTACTATTGAAGTTGACTATCAAGCCATCGCCAAAGAAACAAATTTGGCATCATCTCTCAATCCAATTCTATAATATATTGTAATAATATCGATATCATCTATCTATGTACCAATCAAGTGTTCTATTCATGTATAAAACATATTGTCATTGACTTTTACTTAATTAGATATCAAGTTGTAAGATATCAACTATGTGTTTCTTACGTTTATACTTTTGACCAACTACTTCGTCACAAAGCCTCTCATTCATAGGATATTTTACTTACATCGAATCGAAATTAACATCCTTGATAAAAACTTAATCTTATGGGGCATGATAAAAGATCATAATTTATATGATTGATTTGAATATATAATTTAAGTACATAATTAAAAGAAATCTTCAAAATTTATATAAATATAAATTATCTCCGTAAATAAAATAAATCACTTTCCCGATATATTTCTCTATATTTAAAAAATAGAATACAATTTGCTACGGAGCCATCGTCCACCAATTAGGTATTCCACTTATGCATGAAATATATTACCATTAACTTTTACTTCATTAGAGTTGTAAGGCTTCAATTGCCTGTTTCTCACGTTTATACTTCTGATCAACTAGCAGACTGTTTCACAGAACCTCTCGTTCATAGAATTTTTTAATTACAAGATTAACAATCTTAATAAAAACTTAAACTTACGAGGTATAATAAAATATCATAATAAGGTAAACTTTATGATAGAAACTTAAACTTACGAGACATCATTATATTTTTTACATCATTTGAATATGTAATTTGAATACATAATTGAAAAAAAATTCTCGAGATTTATATAAATATAAATTACCTCTCTAAATAAAATAAATCATTTTCCCGATAAATTTCTCTATTTTTACATCAAAAGCGTCACCCGCAAAACAAACACCGAGAGCGTGCCCGACATCGCCACTGTAATGCTCACGTTGTTTGACTTGTCGTTACATGTCAAGACAAGATTGTCCTATAAACTCGAACGTATTTTTTATATTGGTACGGTAGTTTCGGATGACCATTAGACGAGAAGAATCCCCGTGACATACTTCAAATACTCGCCTCTCTCATGTGCCTCTCCGTCGCGAAAGCGTAGGAACTTTGCAGCACTAACATCGTAGGTATGCTTGTTTTCATGCCATGAAAGAATCGGCCCGTTCCAAGTATACAGCGACCACTGGCAGACAGCAGCTTACCAATGCCTTTGGCAGATAGAAATTAGCTTGACCGACTAGGAAAACTGTTTGTATTATTGAAGAGGACGACATTTTAGTTCATGCAAAGTCATGAGTAAACAATCCATTCGACCCATATCCCACTGGCATTTGCCAGGGAAGACGACGAGGGAATCAGAGTCATCTTTACAGCTTCAATGCTCCATCTCAACGGAACAAGCAAAGAGAATTGGCAAGCCAGGGATAAAAATTTGGTTTCACAACATTATATGCTGCATCTCACGGCAGCGAGAAAACAACAATGTAAATGCAGGAGTTTTCTCTTTGTTTTGAGTAAAACATGCTCACATTTCATGAGTTGAGAACAAAGCGGGTAAAATGCTCAAGAGTGAGAGTCAAAACCTCTCTAAAGGGAATCCAAAGCCTCTCATGGAGCAGCCCAAATTACACACCAAAATTTCGTGAATATGCTCAGATATCTTCGGGGCCATTGATCACCTGACCAAAGCAACAAAGCACATTGTCATCGAAACACTCAGATATAAGGATGGTAAATGACTGATGGAGGATGTGTTGGTTTACCTTGTTCTCGAGGACAGCTCCATCAGAGATCTCCAACTTTACTCCAGACTTTGCAGCGATACTCACATTGCCCTTAGCAAATAAAACTAAAAATGATTAAAAAATTGAACAAAGGGAACAAAAATACATATATAGATACTTCATAGCAGATCATAGATAACATGAGAAAAGATTCTGATAAAAATTCAGCATGTAGTTGCTGGAAAAAAAAAAAAGAGTTTAAAACATAATTTGTATTCTGGTTGAAATTTTCAATATACAACAAAAATTGCATATCTTGTACATTACTTACGGTCCATACTTTTCAATCTAGCACATTTTGGCAAAACATGCCACTAGTTAGCATGCCAGAACTAATTGCCTCTGTTCTTATTAACAAATCATATTTCCAATTAATCTAGGACGGTTTCAAACTCCAAAACTGCACAAAGTCATGGTTACAGCAGAGGAGCACCTTGTTAGCCTTGACAAAGAACTACCCTACACCCTACTGATAAGTCTCTTACCATCAGATTTGATGGACATTTCAGGTATCACAGTGTATTTTGAATATGTTAGATATTACGATCAAAATTGAGTCCATGGAGGTGGACTTGTCAGATACTTTTCCAGGACTTCCTTTTACTTACTCTTTGCCAATTCTAAATACATTATAACAAGTACAAAGATATAAAGAGTAGTAGTTCATGTATAATAGTGTAAACAAGCGTGTTCAGGAAGAGCAAAGATTGTATTTCACTCTAGAGAGGCTTCAAGGTTTTTATCTTAATTCAGCCAGCAAAAGTTTTTCAACTATTGCTATTGTGAAGACGTATGAAGAAAGTGTATTCCAAATGTAAAGGAACGTTTGAAAGGATAAGTAAAGCATCATTAAAATTAAAAGGAAATAATTGCAAGATATTCAAATAGCTTGATATAGCAAAAATTATGCACCCTGTAACTCAAATAAGTGAAAAAGGAGATGACTAATGCATCACAAAGTAAGAAAAAGATGACAAACAAACCAATACAGAAATGGTACCTTCAGTACTACTCCTTCACCAAACCAAACATCACCAGAAACCTTTAAGCTATCAAGCTCAACGATGCTAGGTATCGACTTGAAACGACTAAGGAAGTTGGCAACCTTCAAGTAGAGGAACAATTGTTAATCAACGACTTCAGTTAACAAATTGAAATCACTCTCATACATGAACTTACCTTCTTAAATTCAGGCCCAAGTTCAATTGAAGGATTTGAGGGATTTGTTCTAGCTTTATTGCGAATAACAAAACCATCAACCAACGTATACAGATCAGACTGAGAGAAAAAAAGGAAGAGCTGATCATGACTGGCAAAAAATACTGTCAAGATATATGTTCATCACAATTCAGATGATTTGATTTTAACCTGTACTAGCAGCAAATCTGAGGTTGCCTTCACTGGAAGAAACCGAGATCGAGGAACATTAATCCCAATTGCATGGTCAAAGAACTATTTCAACCAAAATTTGAGATGCTTAAGTTATAAAATTAAGTTAATTACATAAGACAAAATAGTAAGAAGTATATAATTTGTCTAATGATTACTCGAATTGCTGCTCCAGCTGCAGTTTCCAGTTGAAGAACTTTTACACCATCTACTTCCTGCATAACATGACTAGCACATCGGTTTCACTTTCTATGACATGCACAAGAAAAGTAACAAAATGAAGAGGCAATGTAAAGTAGTAGTTTTTTAAGGTCACCACCTTAGGGTTTGGAATAATCTCCATTTTAAGTGCATCAGCTTCAACGAGTCGCTTAATGGCCTTCAAGTTCACCCATCTGTGATCAAGGAACTTTTAGAACAGAGCAACAGGACTCATTGTAATTCATAGAGTTGGATATAGAACAAGTACTTACAGATTGTTAGTATTGAAGATCTTAAACTTTTCAATTGACTTGAATTCGTTCACCTAAACAATAAGTAAAAAGACACAGGATGTACATCAGTCATCTAGCCATGTCTCGGCTAATGGTGTTCCATGATGAAATGCATTTTATGGCACAAAAAACAAAAACATTTTATTTTTCCTTTAAAATGACATTGAATGAACAATCTGCCTCTCATGTTACAACTTACATGAGCATCAGGAACTTGTGCAATCTCAAGAAGCTGCAATTGACAATGAAGAAAAAGAAAAGTTAGACAAGAGTATGTAGTACAACAAATTCCAGAATGCTAAAACACATCCTGAAGAGTACAAGGCTTATATTACCAACATAGTTCTTAGATATAAGTTAAGAAGACTATGTATGTCATTAAGTACATTAAAGATATCAACTTATATTACTAACATATCACAAGAAGTCAATGAATGATCCAAACATTTACTTACAGCCAAGCTAGCTTGACTAGTAACCAGTAAATCAGGGAAAAAAACCAGTTATAGTTGCATAAAGAACTATCATGGCATTATAAACATGTAATGCTCCTAACACAAATACTATTACAAAGTGGGAATTCAATATGAAGGCCGTAGCTATGCTGTGTAGAACAACAGACTCAAACAAGGACCATAAATTTCCAAAGGATTCATAGTCGCCAACAATGCTACATGAAGAACAACTACCACCTTGATTTCTTATTTTAACAAATGACATATATAACAGATATTTCAAATCTTCTATATGAAACATGTTTTAATTTTTAAAATATATGCAAAAGACAAATATGTAACTAGTGATAACAGACCTTTAAAGCAAGGTTTGTAATTTCGTACCGTACCGGAGTTTCAAGCTTAATTCGATACAGTACGGTATAAGTATACCGAGTGGTACATTTCGGTATACCGCTCGTTATACCGCGTGAGGAGCTGTGCAAAAAAAAAAAAGGGTAGCAACGTCGCTCGATTTCCCCGTGCAAAAAAACAAGGAAAGGCAACGTTGCCTCGGCAATGTCGCTCGGTTTCCCTGCACGAAAAAAAAAGAAAGGCATCGCCTCGCTCGGTTTCTTCTGTTGGGAAGAAGAAATCACTTCTCCCCGTGACATCGCCGAGGCTTCGTCGTCGCGCCAGATCTCCAGGTTTTCTTCTTTCTTCTCCCTCTTCTTTCTTCCCCGTCATCGACCTCTTTCTTCTCCCTTTCTTTCTTCTCCGTCACTGATCGATGCTACTACCCGGTAGCAGACGGTCCGTGTACCGGTCTGCTGACGGACCAATATGTACCGCCTGGTATGGGCGATATTATTCGAAATTAAAATCCTTACTTTAAATAATCATATTCACTTGACTTTTAGCAGTTCAACAATCGAAAAGACCAATGAATTTAATTCAGATGGTATCTTGTTGAACAAAAAAGAAAATAGAAGGCTAGGATGCACACTAGTTTTACATGCTACTTGTTCAAAAACTCGATAAGTTCAAACAGATGTAGTTAAATGCAACTTGGACAACAACAAGGTGTAGAAGACAAAATTTAGAATAAAGATGATTTCATTTTTATAGCTTTTTTTATAAGAAAGGACTTAGAAGTTGGATGAAGTCCCTAAATCCTAACCCTTAATATTTCTGATAAAGTCAAGCAATCAACTAATGGACTAATGGACCAGAACTAAAAAAATCTCAGACTGGCTAATGGACCAGCAGCAAGTTCTACTTAGATGTTTCAAAATACTAGAACATCAAAATTCCACCAAGATAAAATGTAGAGGTGCAGAAAAGGCACTACTTGAAGACAAAAAAATGGGGGAAAAATCCATAAACAGAAAATTATTTTGAAGAAAAAGGAAACAACATTTCAGGTTATCAGGCTGTAAGCTCCATTATATGGTGCAAGCACTGCAGAAACGGGAATGAGCTGAAAAAAAATGCATCAAAATCAGATGGCAAGGCATGGTAACCTTTTTTTTTTTTTGACATAGAATGCATGGTAACCTTCTTTTTTTTTGTTATAATAACGAAAAAGATATCTTAAGCATGCATCATGAGCAATTTTTTTCTTTTTTTTAAGCTCATGTGGTATATGTCATTCATTCAATATTGCCTCAAGGTGTACAACTAAAGAATTTATGAGAGATTTATTTTTACTAGTCAAAGAAAAAAACCCGCTGAGGTGACTGCAAGTATATCAGAATTTGCTGAAAGATAATGAAAATCAAATTTATGAATAGATAACAGCAGCTACTATATCATTATAATTTAACTGTTCATCATGTCAGTCAATAGTATGTAGTGACAATTTAGTTTGAATGGATATTGAATATTGGAAAATTATACTGTAGACTAGGAAAAAAAAAGACCTAGACCACATACCTGAACCCTTCCTTCATATGAGATCAATGTACCACCTTTCACATCAGCCAAAGTTTTTGGTGTCACCTGAACACAGTATAAATGTTTTTTGCATGTCCTGAACACAATATCATTGACAAATTGAGTGAAATAAGCACCATACCTCCATACAATATTCATTCTGATTGTTAATCAAATGGTTTAGGATTTCTGTTTTGTTTGGTGAAGGGGTCGACATTTCATAAAGTTTATCAAAAGCAAATTTATACTGGAGAATAAAAATGGCCCATTAAGAATGAAAAGTAATGAAGATAAGTGAAGGATACTTATGTCAACTATAGCACCCAAGTTATCCGAGTTTGCAATGAAGACATATTCCTTTCCCTAAAAAAATCAAGCATCAAACTGTTATAAAATTAAAAAAAATGAAATGAAATAAACCTTTTAGTATTGATCAAAACCAACATAATAATTGGCATGGAAAAAATTAGCAGGTAGTATAGATCAAAACCAACATTATAATTGACATGGAAAAAGTCAACAGGTCATTGTTTTCGCAGGGAGTTGCAAACCTGTGATAGCAAGGCATCAAGCTTGCCACTGTTCATCAAGGATGGGAAAACATCACCATGACCTGGAGGATACCTTTACAATGACATAGAAAAAAAATGAAAGATGTCAAAGGAATTTCATGCTGATCTAATTAATTAAAAGAAAAAGATATATTCAAATCCACTAAGGGATTCATACTTCCAATCAGTTAATTTTCCTGTGAATGCAAGTAAAATTTTAAAACCAAATTGAAATTGTCATACAGAACACTTGAAGGTTGTAGATTCGTATAATTAACCAATTATTTAGCTGAAAATTAAACCCCAAGCTAGTTCCCTTAAGCTTATCCAGTCATAAAAATACTTTCTTTATCGAGAAAACTGACACAGAGAAAGAAAAGCATATAGAGAAGCAATCAATATGATGTTTCCTGTACATCCGCCTTTCACTACCATGTTGAGGCAAACTACTATAAGCATGAATATGTAATCATCAGGAGAAAAGATTACTACTGAGAGAAGTGCCTTCCCAAATACAAGGACATCTGGTTGCTAAATGAAATGAGGAAAGTTATGATGAACAGGGACCTGGTCAGGATAGTTGATGACTTGTAGGCCTAAGATCAACTTTGAGTGGGTGACTTCATGTATGAATACCAAGATTTCTATTATGTAACAGTACAAACTATAAAAGATAAGTACAGAATATATCTTTGTTTCATCATTTGCAATGTGAGGAATGACAACAAGAATATGTAAAAGGGGCCAATATGGACTCTCAAAGCAATATTAGTTTCAAGTTTCAACTGTTTAAACAAGTACAATACTAGTATACCTGAATGTATCATAGAGAAAAAGTAACAAAAGATTGAATACTGACTAGTCCCAGACTCCAAACCTATAAGATCCAGTAGTCCTGACCTATAAGATCGGAACCAATCCTTGTTCAAAACAATAAATGCTGGTTGGTAAGTTCCAGCCTTATCAGTATTTGAAACCTTGGTGACCACAATCAAGACAAATTAAGAGAGATGGATTCACAGAGTATTACATCAACTTTATTTTTCCAGACCATGTGAACTACAACTTTCAACTAGTTTGCAATTTAACCAACCAAAATAAACACTTTGACCCTTCCTGAAGGAACAATTTACTCCACTTAAACATCATGAGAACCTGATTTAGAATAGACTTTCATTGTGTATAAAACAGAAGATTCTCAAGTGAAAATATTACTAAGAAATTATAAGGAAACATGTATAAATTATATCCTTGGGAACCAAAATTCGATATAAGGAAACATGTATAAATTATATCCTTGGGAACCTGATCCTTTCGGCTAGTTTTGCAGTGCCAAGTTGATATATGCATGTTTCAGTTTTGTATTTCTACCCTTGCAATCATGGTTTTCATGCACAAATAAGATGAAAAATTAAAAACACAGTGCACATTGTACATTAACACTCTGCTGAAGTCTTGTTTCACCCATCATGGGGGTTACAGCGCAAAGTATGATATTCAGGTCACAGTTCAGCAGAACACAACAAGAGACATGCATTTGTTACTTCGACATCGCCAAAGGCAACAAATGGCATGTAATTGCAGAGGTTTTATTACCAAAACACTTGGAACAAGTAAAATTATTCGGTTCCACACAATTTCAGTGATTGCATACTAGTAATCATCGATTGATCCTATCATCCTCCTGTAAAGGTTATGGAAGAGGGAATAAAATGCATGGGAAAATTGATATTAGGGGGTATGAAAGATGAAGTTGATTGCAGAAGCTGGTATCCAGGATAAGATATAATAGGCAAGAATGAGAAATAATAAATTAGCAATCATGAACAGTCAAAAGGAGATATATCTGGACCAAACATTACCTTTCTCCAAGCATCATAGAAGTAATTAGACATGCAGAAAAACATATCTTATTATGTATAACCTGGACAAGATTTGAGCAGAACATACCAGCCATCCTTCCCGGCATGGCCTTTGCTTGGCAGTGGCTGGAAATCTTCCATAACCAAACGAGGGTACTGGCTCTGCAGATCAATAGTTGCAGGCTAGTTAACACCTTAATCAGATTAAGATAGCAAATGATAATTTCTTAGCTGTTATAGCCATTCTGAATGATCTATTGATATTTTTCTGACCTGGTTAAATGTATGAATCTCAATATTTGAGTTGGCATATTTCTCCACGATCTTCAGAAACAATAATATGCTTAGTTAAGAGTTAGTCATGATATTTCCATGTCAAATTAACTTTCAAAACAATATCATAAATAAGGCAAGCTATCCTTACCTTTTGTGTATCATCATGAGTGTTGAAAGAATTCATCAAAAGCAGAGGGACCTTGCATCCATACTTCTTATTGAGAGACTGCAAAGCATTTTCTATAGTTAAAGATCTATCAAAATACAAACAAAAGACTCTAGAGCAATTCACTACACTGCCCCCCTTACCTCTATTTGGATAACAATCAGATCGAGGAATGTAAATCCATTACGCACTTCAATAACAGATCTGTAATGTCAAAATAAACACAATCATGGTAAAGTCAAGTGGAGTTTAAAAACATATACCTCATGCATTAAGTTGCAATATTCGTACAACCATATAAATGAGCCTATGTGATCTTAAAGATGATGATAATTTACACAACCCACACTGCAGTTGGTATGTGATATTAGGGGACTGTCAGGGGTGCATGTACAAGGTAAGCCACTAAGCTTGACTCATGGTACACATGAGGTAAGGTTTCGGATCAGACTAAACATTGAACCAATAATCTCACAGCTTAGTAGGCAAGATATTTTAGTCTTATTATCTTACTAAAAATTTACCCAAGTGTTTTACTAGACAAGAAAATACTGTGATAGAAACTTGAGATCTATGAACTCATTGATACTTTTTATTATTTAGTACTTTCATTGTTTTGTTGTCTTCCTCAATAGAATCTTAAACAGAAAATTTCAATGACCCTATATATTTGATGAGTTTGAATTTGTTGAACAAAATTGGACTGGCAGTGCCAAACATGTAATACAGTAATTTAGGATGCAGAAGACTTGTGAATCGAAATGAGGAAACCATATCACAATTCCAATGTAGGCAAATTATCCTAGCAAGTATGATGCAACTCAAAAAATCAATTTTGCTGAAGAACATGGAAGCATTATAGGAATCTAGTCAAAGGTGAAGTGCAGTGACAGAAACGATAAAAGAATCAGAGAACCCACTTCTGATAAATCTGCTAGTTAACTCACTCAATCGGTCAACATGGGAGGTGTCATATATTGTGGCTTCAGTAAAAATCACAGTGTATTATGTCATCCAACAAGTAAAACAACTTAAAACTGATAGGATTTGTTAAACCTTTGAACTAGCTATCATGAGGATAAGTTAAATTGCTGTACACATTACATCTCTCATATATACCATACGTAAAATTGTACAAAATAGTGATCATATTAAAGATAAACGGTAGTCTTTATCAATCAACCAGATGTTCTAATTTAATCCTCAAATCACTGAAATTCTAATCCTTTGGATCATTCAGGGAAGTACCACAAGTACTCGTATATACACCAACATAAGCATGCATCCAAAAATAAGAGCATTTGCAACAGAAACATGACTACATCCATTCAGAGTTGCCATATCATGGCCGGCTTTGAAGAAGCAAATGAAAGTGCAACAGCAGATCTAAACAATGTGGATTGCCACAAAATCATCAGATTAATTGAGATATCAACAGTACAAAGAGAATGAGGATTTTGATAATGAGAAAATCTGCTCTACTCAGTTTTGATTTAGTGAAATAACAAAAAAAGGTTAGGGCATGGCTAGTAATTAAGAAGGTAAGTTTGATCAAGGAATTAAAAATAAGTCAGATAGATATGTACGGTCAATATTCATCAGTCTGATCAAGAACTAGTATCGACCCATATTTGTATTATTCTTTCTTGTAGAAGAACAGGTTAGTGCACTGTTTGGTATCGAACTGGTTACTAACACAGATACTAGATCAAGAAATAAATCCTTGATTTTGAGCTTCCATGAATAATCAAGAAGGCCCTTTCATAAGATAAATTGTTTGTCCAACAACTCCACTAGGTGAGCACAGGATATCACAATTATTAGGTTCATGTAGTTAAGTTGTAGTAAATCATGTGCACTTATATTGGTGATAATAAATTAAGGTAGATCCATTGTCAACCTACTCATTTCACGTAGCATATTACTAACAACAGCGGGACTACAGAAAAAACTACCATCACAAATGCTGAGGAACTACATTTCATATATGTGATCTTTGATGTCATCCTTAAACGTGGGAAGAAAATGTTAATCTGTGAAAATTTGAGCCAACTTGAAACAAAGAAATGGTTCACCATATACATTCTACAAAATACTCAAGTTGATCACCTTTCAGAAGTAAATAAAAGTCACCTATTTCAGTTCAAAATTGTTTACATGCGATTCAGATGCCATAAACGATTGAGAAACTAAAATACACAAGAGCAAATAAAATTAACAGATCTCTAAATATCAAACCACTAACTTAAATCAATTCGTTTAGCATAGTCATCATGCTATCGATAAAATTACTGAAGTTAACATTCAGAAAAAATCAACTGATACGATAAAATAACCATACTTGGGCCCCGTGCATCCCATGGTGGTTCCCAGTCCTCCATTGAGTTTTAGCACCGCAAGCTTGTCGAGAAGTTTCTTGGTTGCCTCAAGATCTGCAATTTCGCATTAGAATTCTAAACAGCCGAAGGCTACAAGCACCACATATAATGAACAATTTGTAAACAGTAAATCTCGGATCTGTCTATAGGAGAGAAAGAGACCTTCCGGAGGTGGTGACAGGGTATCATAAGGCACGACCACTTCATCAGTCGGAGTCTGGATCTTACTCCACTCGATCTGTTCTGCCTCGCCACTCCAATCCCATCAAAAACCCACGCGAAACAAACATTTCAATCACCAGAAAAGAAAAAACAACTCCAAAAAGGAAAACCACAAAGAAAATATCTCATTGCACAAAAGCAAGCATCAGAACGCCACAGTTCCGGGAGAAACATCGCAGTTAGACGCTCGATCTTACCTCAGATAGCGAGACACTAGGCTGATAAATCCAGATTTCTCATTTTCACTGCCAACAACAAAAAATTCAAAAACTCGGATCAGATCTGACATCTTTCAGCTCAGTTCCACGGACAAGGACAAGGAAATCCGACTCCGCGCACACCTGATCTGATTGAGTTCAGCGACGGCGGATTGGAGCTTGGCGATCTTCGCATCCGCCATCAGGGATCGAGAGGCGTCGAGCGAGCGCGAGACGATACAGAAGCGAGAGGTGAACAAAGGCCTGATGTCGCCCTCTTGGAGTGAGGTAAGATGACGAGCCGTCTTCATTTATAGAATGGGGGCGACGTTCTCCGTCAGTCAAAACGGCGACAGAATATTCGGAGGACGACGGAATCGTGTCCGTGCCATCGACGACACGTGGCGGAAGAAGAACGGCGCGGGAGGGGAAGCGAACCTTGGCCGTTGGTTCGAATGGATGGGCTCGCCACTTCGTCGTGATTCGTGCCGTGGGCCCGCTTCAGGGAAATGGACCTAACAACGTTACGAAGTCCGATAGGCTCCCATCACATCTCCGTCGAAGCGTAATAAGAAAGCAACGCCATGATGCGTGTTCGTCGTTACGTGTCAACAATGTTGTGCTTCCTCTTCTTCGTAGTAGTATTACGCGTGTTATTAAGAATAAGATTCTCGAATGTTCTTTTGGTGTGTCAATTCAATAAATATGCATTGGATTAGGACATCAATTAAATAATGATGTGTATCTCAACAGTTTTCGAAACCACAAGCGATCATAACAAAGTAATAATTATAATAATTAGAAATACCCCAAAATTCTTCGAACGCTCACAGCATTTGCATTTGCGAGGATTGAGAAACGTGATCGTATCACAGCGGTTTGGAACGATTTGGATCAAGTTTTGAGTCACCGAGGATCAATTACGTTGAGATTTGTGTCGTGAAATGATCGCATTCGTTGACATTTCTATTACGTTGTACGTAATTTGAGGTAAGATAAGATGGGTGTGACGGAATAGAGAACGTAAGATGTCACGGGCAGGGATTAGTTTGCTTTTAGATGTGTGCTATATCCGTGACACGTGTTTTAATTTGTGTTTTGAATCAGACTGAATATTTTTTTATTTAGTATAAATATATTGTAATATAGAAATTAGATTTAGTGTACAAATATTCTATTATACGCATGTTTTCACTTGTGTTTTGAATTGCTAGTTGATGTGAAGGGAAAAAAAAAAAAAGAGAGAAGAAGAGGTGAAAAAATAGAGATATGAAAGAATAAAAAGAACTCTAGATATTAAAAATTAATAATTTAAAATATAAAAAATTGATAAGGTTTCAAAAACTAGAATGTCTCCATCAATCTTTCTATGTTCCTCTTTTATATATCTATTATATTGAATCGCTCGATCATCTAATTAATGAATTATAATTCATTGAAAATCAAGCACAAATTATAATATATATTTAAGTCATGACGTGTTTGTACTTTGGTGACTTTAAATTTTTATGGTCATCTCAAAATATAATAATATTCTTAAATTTTGATAAGGTTGAGCTTATAATTTATTATCTTCGAACTTGTAAGCATTTAATGTAGATATGTTCCCGGGGTGAGAAAGAACTTATTTATAAGTTATTATCATTATTGTCATGATAAATTGATACATTTAAATGTGAAATGAGTGTGAATGTTAAAAGAAAGTTCAATTTTGTAGGCATTGTCATTAATTATCATCGGAACTTGACAAATATCAATTTTGTTTGAGTTTATTATAAGTTCCTACTTGAAAATGTTCCTTTTTTCAAAAAGACTCAAACATGATCTCTTTCTTTAAAAATCTTCAAATGATGATGCTTGTTAGCATTTTCTTTGTAAACTTAGTTATTAGCTTTAAGATTCTTCTTTCTTTCTTCATGAATTTTTATCATGATAATAGTAAAATCCTCTCGAAATTGATAAAGGTGATTCAAGTATTTTAGCAAGATCTAGATTATAAAGTGAAATACATCCATAAGTAATCTTAAATAGATTTTTACCCGTAGAACGATTAACCATAGAATTATAAGCAAATTAAACATAAGGTAATATAAGATCTCATTGTTTTGATCTTTTTTAGAAAAGTATTGTAGCAAATTATCCAAGGTTTTATTAACAACCTCAGTTTGTTTATCTATTTGAGGATGATAAGTATTACTATATAACAGGTTAATGCCAATTTCTTTCATAAACTTCTCCAAAAATAATTAAAAAATTTAGTATCTCTTTCTAATGTGATAGACTTAGAAATTTTATGAAGTTTAACCACTTCATTAAAATAAAATAAAGCTTAACAATATAAGAAGCATCAATGATCATTTTACAAGGAATAAAATATGTCATTTTGAAAAATTGATCAATAATAACAAAAATAAAATTTGTACCTCTTTTGAGTTTTTGATAGACCAATCACGATATCTATACTAATGTTTTTGCAAAGAGTATTAAGAATTGATAAAGAAGTATATGCACCAAGATCCTCAGTTTGTCTTTTTAAAATTTAGCATATTCTATATCTTTTCAAATATCTCAGTAGATTGAATGTCAAAAATATTTTACTTGAATAAAAATAATTATTTTGTCTCCCCAAAATGATATTTTAATCCATTAGAGTACAGTTCTTGACTAATATATGCTCTTAGAGAATATTTAATAATATAAAGTTGATTTCTATGAAAGAGAAAATCATCTTTGATAACATAATTTTTATGATGACTCTTCATGCATAAGTCTCATATTTCTCCAAAATCTTTATCATTCAAAGTAAGTATTTTTTATTACATCAAATCCTTTTCTTTAGGCACACATAGTATTAAGAAGTGTCAATTATTGATCAAATGTATATGTAATCTTATTATATATTTTTATTCTTATACATCAAAATAAAAGTATATTTTTATAAAAATATCACTCATCTTCCATATCACCAATCGAGACTTACTTGAGAATTTATATGTTTAAGAGTTTAATGATCAGAATCTAAGATAAATCTTCTTTGGATTAAACAAAGTTTTCAAGAACAATAGTATAAAATTTAATATCATAAGTTAAATATTTTTTCTTGTATTATAAATTTTCTCACTAAAAAATACATGTGGATGTCCTTCTTGGCTAAATACTCTACCAGTACTTACATGAGAGGCATCACAATCAACTTCAATAATATAATGTTTCTCACTAAAAAATCTAATAATGTAAGAATAGTAGTGGATAATTTTACTTTAGAAATTCAAAACCACTATTTGTATGATGTCCATTAAAATGCTTCTTTCTTTATACATTTAGTTAGATGAGTTGTAATAATATTAAAATATTTAATAAATTGATGTAAAAGGATGTCAACTCATGAAAACTCCAAACATTTTATAGGGACTACCATATAGTTGGCATGAAGTTGGCATTCTTAACATTTTGTTTGGATAACTTCAATTTTCTTAAGATTTGCATATAGTTGGCATTCTTCAAGGTTGATATCTAGAGTTCATAAAGTACATTTTAAGATTTACATATAATTTTTCTACCTTCAAGGTTGATAGGATAGTTCTGAAATATTCAATATAATCAAGTTTGTAATGACTATAAATAATAATATCCTCAAAGTAAATAACAACAAACTTCCCAATATAAAAACTTAGAATTTGATTCATTGCCCATATAAAGGTTCTTGAAGTATTTGAAAGTTCACATGGCATAACTAGACATTCATATGAACCTTCTAAGTCTTGAAAGCAGTTTTTCATTCATCTTATTGTTTAATACAGGATCGGTGATAATTGCTTCTAAAATCAATTTTAGAGAAAATTTGAGCATTAACAAGCAAATCGAATATATCCTTCACACGTGGAATAGGAAATCTAAACTTGATAGAGCTAGAATGATATAGGCTTAAACTTTTTTAAATATAACCTTATGTAGTAGATTTATAACTTATTTATTCAACCCTACAAATTCTTTTAGATTCATCTCGTAGTGAAATTTGTTTAACAAAATTGCTCCTAGAACAAGAGGTAGGCAGCTAGAAAGTTCTTCGAAGCATATGCCTTTAAATTCCTATAAAATGGATTCTACTTAACGAGAAATTTTTATAGGCTGTATACATTCTTTAGCAACTAACATAAATAATTAACTCAATTCTCTTTGTTATTTAAAGTAAGAAAGTTATTTTCTTATCTTTGGGTTAAAAGTTTGGGAGCAAACTCTTTTTTGCATAGCAAAAGCATAATTCTAACTCTATTAAACTTCAAAGTACATGCGTTCTTTTTTACCATCATGGATAGCACAACTTGGCACAGTTTTCCCAAGAGTATATGTCTAATATTCATTGATACTATATCATACCACATATTATCTTTATAATTTTTACACATCGAAAAAGAAATTAGACATCAATTAGTAACTCATACCTCATTATCTTTCTTGAACTATATAACCCAAAATCGTTTAGGATGTGATTCTATCTTGAGCTTGAGCTTATCCATCATAACTTGAGACATAATATTCTCACAACTACCACCATTAATAATAAGAGAATAAACTTTATGAGACTAGCAATATATTTTAACAATATTATTTCATATTCATTCTTTATTAAAATCTCCTCTTGGAGTAACAAGTGCTTTATAGATTACTAAGCATTCGCCTTTTTCAAATATAATTTCTTAGGAAGCTTCCTATTCATCAGATGTTGGTTCTCCAGTATCTTTAAGTTGTTCATTGACATCTTTTTCTTTAGTAAAATTGACTCATATATTAACTTGTCTATTTGGGTACTCATTCATGCAATAACCTACCTATTTGTGTTTGAAGCAAGTAGGAAAGTGACTTGTGTGTCTCATTAGCTTTGATCCACAAGCATTATAATGAGCATAGCTTTAGAAGAGGAGTATAAGGAAATATTAGAATATATATTTGCTTTACTTTTAGCAAATTTTTCTTTAACTTTTAGTGTAATTGATAAACATCAAAAAACTTTTATAGTCATTGTATCTCCACTTCATCTCAAATTATAACTTATAGGTTATCAACATATCTTGCAACAAGTTATTCTTTTATCTCTTGGGTATTATTTCAAGCCATCAACTTGTAGAAGTCTTTAGTGTAGTTGATGATGGTTTTGCTATCTTACTAAAAACTATTAAATTGTGAAAGAGAGCTTGAACATTGAAGAAAATTTTCATAGAGCCAAGATTTCATCTTCTCTCGATATAAAATCTTTATTTTTCCTTTCTGAAAGCACATCT